AACATTGTCATTCCATCTTAACACTGAAGCGTGCAACATCATGTGCCTGATCCACTGTCTGATGCAGAGTCTGTTTGCACACTGTAAGGGTGTGCACCAAGAAGCGTATTATTAATCTGAGTTTTCTCTAAACCTAAAGTGTCATGAAAGTAATCGTACAGATTAGTTGCAGGTTTCTTTTTTCTCCCTTTGCTTTTGTGATTCATATCATGACATAAACAGCAATAACTTGAGTACACAAAGCCGTTTTCAATTGATGATTTGATACAAAACCAGCCGGGACCCATGTGAACATGTAATTGCCTGAATTAACTGTGATCAGCTGCATTTTTGGACAGCTTGGTTCTGATTACAACCAGATGTGTGAAATCCAGAACTCCCCTAAGCAGAACTTGCCTGACAACATGAAGTAGACTTAAAGACCTGAAAAAGCAACGCAATAGGCTCAGTAAAGAATACAAAATAAATTAGAAATAAAGTCCTTGACATTTATCAGTCTGTGAGGAGTTGCAAGGCAGTTTCTAGAGCTCCAGCAAACCAACGGGAAAAACATTTCAGGAGTGACCAACCTACCAAAATCACTGTAAGAGAGCATCAAAAACTTATCCAGGAGGTTACAAAAGTCAAAATATTCTGTTGACTCTATGGAAGGCGTGCCTTTTCCATCTGACATAAAACTAAAACCATTTTTCAGACAGAGAACATAGCGGTGGTGGTAGTATGATGATCTTGGGCTGCTTTTCTGCTTCAGGACCTGGATGACATTAATAATCGATGAAACCTTAACTTCTGCTTTCTACCAGAAAATCCAGAAGATGAATGTCCAGCCAAGCACGCTTGGGTTATGCGGCAGATAATCTCTGAATGACATAGAAAAAGTCAAATGAAGGTTTTGAAGCGGCCTAGTCAAATCTTGAGTGACTTTAAACAGGCAGTTTGTGCTTGAAAACCCTTCAGTGGTGCAGAAGTAAAATAATTCTGCAAAGAAGATCAAGCCGACAAGATTCACTTACAGTTTTGGCAAACGTAAATGTTTGATGGCAATTCATGCACAAAGGCTTTACAAGCAATTGTTAGCTTCAGGGTATAATGATTTCTCATCAACAAATGAAGTCCTCATTTAAAACACACAGTCTGTATTTGCTTAGGCTATCTTTAATGCTAAAACACTTTTGTAGTCAGACATAAAGTGTGAAAAAAAGCGGAACCAGACATGACCAAAGGTTAGCGCTTCAGCTATCGTGCTCACTTGTTCGCGTGGATTTTGAAGCTTGTTCAGGAAATGTTTGTCACTCCAACATGCCCAGAGAGCAAAAGCGGCCAACACTTCAACTGATTTCTATGAACATACAAATATTTACTCCTGTCATGACAGGAGAAGGCTGTTCCTGCCAAACAGTTGAGTTGCTATATGCTGCCTGATCCGTGGCTCTTGGCCCTGCTTAGCACGACAGGATTTCCATTTGTCCATGAAGAAATGTTTCAACAAGTACTAATCAGATAACAGCGCATGCGGCTACAACATCTGAAACACTGAAACACACTCATATCTACTCTAAAAGCATCTGGATGCTGGTCCACATGCGTCAGAACCTCTCTGGGTCTGCCATTTTTTTCCTACAGGCTTTTCTCCAGGCCTCGGGCGAGCAGGACAACACTAGCCGCCTGTTGTATCAGCTGACCATCACAGAGCTCCATTCTTGACTGCAGACCACAAACACAAAGCAGAGTGGACACTTGAGAGCAGGCTCCACACGAGGGGAACTGCATAGACGTAGATTGTTGGTCTCCTGCAGCCGGAGGAACTTCACGCTGCAGGTGGCGCTTGGTTGTATGAACAAGTCGGACAAACACTGAAGATTTCTGCTTTTGTTTTCATTGCTAATTATGCTAACATGATTCTGATATTTATCGATTTTATCGTTTCAAAGAAAAACGTGAAGTAGAAAGTGTATTATTTAATATTACCAATTAATACTGCCATAATTCTGTGTGCCTGTACTACCTTAACGTCTTCCCTAACACCTTCTCAGTACTTGTGGTCGAGATCTTGGATTTTGTGATAAATAGTTGAGGTACAGATAAGGCACGGTGCAGGATAAGGCGAAGAAAACCTATTGAGATAATGCCTTTTGGTTATTTCGCTACGTAAACATTGTCTTTTGAACCACATGAAATAAAATGGATACAAGAGTTTCAGGTATGCAGCGGTTAGATCTTCCATTATTATCTTTGTGTGGGTTTTCTATCACCACTTTAGTTTCCTTTTAAGTCTAAACAATTAACTTTTTTAAAATGGGAAGCAGGTGGTTGCTCATGTGGAGCTTTGCGGTTGTCCGATGAGCCCTTAGTGTTCGGGTTAGAGGTCTGCACTCTCTGGACCTTCCACAATGTCTCTTAATAACGTTGGGTTAAAATGATGAAGCACTGAGGTGTGTCTTTAAATGCAGATATCATAACAATTGTAGGTTTTACATGGGTTATTTTTTTTATGAAAAAGTTGCATTCAGTTTTTTTTTAGATATATTTTCCATGTGATTAATTTGGAAACTTGGTGCTTTTTTTATTTCCGTATTTGTTAATCATCAGATCTATAATTGTAAATGTTTTGGGTTAATCTACTACCCAAGACACCCAACATTTTCCTGTTTCACCACCACCACCACTCGTGTGACTCGGTGGTACTCCCACAGGTTCTCTGCTGTTTTCACGAGCTTTTTCCAAGCGTAACCCTGGGCAGAGTGAAAACACCCGCATTTCACATGAAACCGCAGCACCGTACGCACATCCACATGTTCCAGTAGCTTATTAGTCTATTATTCACAGCCTTGTAGCTTTCAAATTGATGGTTAGACCATCCTCGGCATGCTCTGCTAGATGACAGGCCAAATATGTCTCAACACAGTTTATAGCTCCACTTTCAAGTTACCATTTAACAATTGCTTCGGGCTTTGAGTCAAAGCCTTGCTCGCCCTCCAGCATAAACAGTTTAAAAGCCAAAATGCAACATGGAGTGAGTGTCACAGGTAGGAGTAGACAAGGCGCATGTGTATGTGTGTGTGTGTGTGTGTGTGTGTGTGTGTGTGTGTGTGTGTGCGTGCGTGTGCTTCTTTTTTTGTGCAGGACATGAAAGAACAAACCAGGAGGAGTGTGTACTAGGAAAAATAATGACTCTGTGTGTTGTTGCATTCACTCAGGTTACTGATTGATCCAGGCAACTTAAGGGAGTGGTGTGCAATGCACGGATCAGCTTCACAAGTACAAGAGGTTGCATGATTGACCATTGATGTCCATACAAACCACAACAACCCCTAAGTATCATGTTTCATTACAGTACTAATATAGGTTACATTTAAAATTAGCTGAAGTGTGAGAGCTTTCCTTATTTGCCTACAAAACTGACACACACACACGCACACACACACGCACACATGGCCACACACAAGTCAGACTCCCTCTGCGAACGCCACGCCTCTGCATCCCAGATGCCTGTCGAGAACGGCCCCTTCACAACACATCCACACAACAGATTAAATGCATACTTTGTTATTAGACTATTCTCCAAGCAGGAAGCACTAACAAAGACTAAGACAACTTTAGTCAGACAGATTTCACTCTCTTTCTCACACAAACACACACACACACACACACACACACACACACACACACACACATGCAACAGCAGGAGAAGGAGGAGGAGGAGGCGAAGCAGCATGACCCAACATGTGCTCCTCTCCAATGGAAAACTGTCAGACGCTCCATCGCACCTAAAGACTTCGGGAAGAGGAGCCAGGAAAGCTGGCATTCTGCAGGCTCTGGCCCACGTTGCGGCTTGGAGAAAGGAGAACTGAAGAGGAGGAAGACGAGGAAGGCTTTTGAGCTGTGAATGGAGAGATGAGAGATATAGCTAGCAGGCTGCAACGGCAGAAAGTGAAAGGAGGATTAGTATTGGTAGAAAAAGACAAAAGCAGGAGGAGATGAAGATAAAAAAAGCCTTCTATGCATGTGAAGATATGCTTGAAAGTACTTGAGATTTATTCTAAAACATGCAGAAAAGTGGTAGTAAAAAGAGCTTAACACAGAAGAACTGCGTAATATTCTTTTAAAAATTATTTCAAAGTATTGTAACTTTACTCTCCTCTTATTGTTTGTTGCTCAAACCCCATTTGCAATCACACTGCAAGATTCTTAACAAACTCTTAGTTTTACAGCTACTGGCAGGTCATTTTAAGTCAAACGCAGCAAAACATGTCCAAACTATGAAACTACCACCACCAGACTTTGTTGACGATTTTAGGTTGAAACGCATGTTGTTGTTTTTTTTTAAATAGAGCTATTTTGGCTTCATTTATGAAACATTTTTATACTTCTGATTAGATTGATAAATGCAAGTTTTTAGACAAATGCATGAGTGATTGATTTTTAAAAAAATTCATAGCTGTCCATTTGAACCTTTAAAAGAAAAAAAAAACTGTCACAGGAGTCAAACTCAGATGCCACCAGTCATAAAACAGGTTGGATTTGACCCAGAAGCATAAAGTATGTCATTCTTCAGGGCGGAAACCAGGAGCCAGGCTTTCTGTCATGATGTCACAACCTGTTTATGCGACTTTGTGTCAAGAAATGGATATGCATTTAAAAAAAAAACACACCCACAGATCCCACGCAGCGTGGGGCCTTTCGCATAAAGGGGATTTTAGATATGAAGAAAAGCAGTGATAAAAAAAAAAGAAAAACTTACTTTGCAAGCTGTTAAATAACCCCCAACATTAGGTATTTTCTTTTCACAAATAGACTAAAGGTACAGGGGGTGTTGCTTCAAATCGCTCACCTGGATATGAAGTTTTCTTCATGGCTGCAGATAATCTCTTCTCTTCTGCTCGCAGTGTTTTAATAAAAAGAGGAAAATCTCAAAAGTGTCGTTTGCATCCGTAACTTTTTCCAGACTGCGTCTTCCTGTGCCGCCTTCTCTGTCGTCTCTGGACCGACCGGTCTCTAAAGCTCGCTCCTATGCTTTTTAGAGCTCCCTAAACTTTGCCCCAGTGTTTTATTCCCACCTCTATCTGCTTCAGGAGACGCTGTGTGAGCTGGATAGTCTAATAATCTCACCTGCGCTCCTGACGCACGCCCTATCCCAGGAGCGGGAGTGGTTTACAGTAACTCCGCGGGGGCTTTCACCTACCAGAGAAAGAATAAAGACTACAGTCTTACCTGTGCGCTCAGGGGATCATCAGGCGGTGGATTATTGGATTAGGAATCCTGAGATTGAGCAATTTGCCGGTCTGATCTGTTGCGCAAAGGTCAAAACCGACGTACAGCTACAATAATGCGTTTGTGTGGAACATTTTATCACTGTATACCCATAACACCCATGTGTGTACAGTATTGACAGGCTGCAGTGGGAGAGCGCGGGCAGGTAAAAACTGTTTGGACTTTAAACTCTGAGTCTTGGTGAAGCTACGTGCCGCTTGGATGAAGCGTTCAGTCGACCTTCAACCTTTCCAACTTTCAAATGTCAAACCCTGTCACCTCGCTTCACCTTCGCCGCACACAGACACTCATCTTGCCAGTAGCTCTGAGCTGCAGGGACCTCTTGTGGTCGCTGCGTGGGCTCTTCGGCTTCCGTTTCCACCAAGCATTCCAGCGCATTCACGAGTGATTGAGGAGAAAATTCAAAGTCTGTGTTGATGCAATGTTTCAGTTTGATGTTTAAGAGCAACTAGCGCAGATCCGAGCTGCTCACGGAAGGCAAATCGACAGCATCAACAGAGTTCTGCAGAAATATTTCCTTGTCTCCTGAGGTGTCTTGTAAACGTTTTAGTAACGCTTTTCTAAATTTTGTCACGTTACATCTACAATCCTTCATGCATTTTGTTAAAATAGTGCTAAACTGTGAAGTGGAGACAAAAAAAGTGTGACATGCATTTGTATCCAGCTTCATTACCATTTCTGCCCCCACATAAAATCCACATCAAAAAATTCCCTTCAGAGCTCACCTTATTAGCTAAAAGTCAATGTGGGATTTAATAATGCAAATACATTGTCTGTGTGGTTCATAGAAAACAATAGAGAACAATCAGCAACATGTGAGGAAAAAGACGAAGCTGTGGAGTCGTCTGAAGCAGAACTGTTGCCATAAAAGCCAACAACAACAGCAACGACTCCTTTTTACTGTCACAGAGGTAAAATGACAGAGATATTTTTTATCACATAGATAAAAATACAAATGTGTTCTTGTAAAATGAGAGCAAAATTAAAAGCTCTGACCTACATTCGTTTTCGTCAGATGGAACTCCATTTGTTAAAAATTCAATTAAAGACATAAAACTACGCTTTGTTTCCCCACCTCATTGTACGTAAATACATCCAGAACTTGCTGACGCAACAAAATTAAATAGCATAACCCGATTAAGTGTACCATTTGTGGCTGGACATGCCAGATGCATGGCCCAGAAAAACACGCAGTGGCTTGAGTCAGCTATGGTTTCAGTGCGTTTCAACAGCGTGTACTCTAAGCAACTGGCCAGTGAGAAATTAGTCTTCACCCATCCTCTTGTAGTTTAGCATAATGTCCCCTAACTTCTTTGAAGCCTGGGTAATTATTGACGGAAAGTTTATACATCCAGAGACACAGGGTGTCGAAAGCTAAACTGTAGTGTCTGAGCATGAAAGGCGAGTGCGGGAACTTCCACTTGCAAATTCCCTGAGAGTGGGCAAAAGCAGATATTACTTTTTATGCCGTGAGAGAAAATGTCAATAAGGCTGGAGGTGCAAATCCCTGGAATGAATGTGAAGGAGGAAGGTGCTTTGTGACATCTTCTGAAAACCTACGACGACTTGTTTGAAGTCAGGGTTGTAGTGAACGTCTACGTGAGTCACGTACGTTCATGTTCCAACGTACAAAGAAGCTGAAATTCAAATTCAGCTTAGCTTGACGTGCAAACGCACCTCAAACACGCCAAATGAGATTATTCGTCCGTTAATCTGAGAATGAGAACGTGATGACCAAGAAAAAAAAATCCTTGATTCAAAGCCAAAACCTTCAATTGTTTATCTAAATTTGTAACTTCCATGTTATCTATTATGTACCATCCATCTCCAGATGGAGTACACCCAAGACATCCCCCATGTTCATCACATTTTATAGTTTCCAATTAGAGGAACTGTTTGCCTACAAAGTCAAGACATTTTTTTTTTCCATTCTGATGAGGCATTCATGCCCAAGAATACAAAGCAGCAAAGTGTAGCAGCATAGTGGTCATGTTTTTTTTGCTAATCTAATCGTATTTCTGCGACATATGCCTTGATATATTAATAAATATATATATCAACATCCTGTTTCTGTTGTAAAAGCCAGGTGCGTTGTAACCAGAAAGTGGGGGAAGCTATGTATTAAAGTATTTTTGAACCTGGTAAGATAAGACAATCTGAAACCAGACATGTTCCATCCAAACCAAACTACCTACTCCTCTGAAAGCACCCAGTTTCCACTGTTTTCTTGCAAATCGTGCAGATTACGATACTTGATACTGGGGTGTTTTTCTTCAAAGCTGCCTGCCGATACACGGAGATTCATCTGGTTTCCGTCAACATTCGTCAGTTCAGCCTCTGTTTATCTGTTTCTCTTATATTTTTTGTATGTGCGCCTTCTGACACAGTTCTTTTATTGTTTCCTGTGATAAAATTGTGACACATTTACAACGTCTGCTGCAGCAGGTGCGTGTTGAGAAGTTTCCTGCTCTTGCTTAAACTTTTAAAACTGAGTAAAAAAACAGATAAAATGTAAAAGTGCATAAAGCTCATTTGAGAAAAGGACAAAAAAAAAAAGAAAAAAAAGCTGTGGCTCTGGCTGGATGCTCTCACTGTAGATGTACTTAGGTTGCGTTTCTCGGAACAGTGGTCTCTGTTTCCACCACTTGCTTTAACTTGTGGCACCGCTTGGTTTACATCTCGCTCACGACCATTCTTAAGTGGTCCCTCTCCATCGTGCGCTGATACAAAACGTTAACCGTGTTCTTGCGCTTCTCGTCGCTGACATTTCGCCTACAAACGCACAGGATGACACGTTTCACACTTCAGTGTCCTGTGGAGCATCTTCGTGAAGAAAATATAACCTTTGACCACAAAGCTGCCGCTTAAGTAAACATCCAGCTTAGCTACACTTTGCAAGCAATGTTTTTTTTTTTTTTTTTTTTTGTTCCCTTCACCCCAAGCAACGTCTTTTACATTTCAGCTTCAGCCGGACATGTCTTATTTGAACAGCTTTAAGATTTATAATAACTGAAGAGCCACTTAAGAGAGCATGTGAACTAGCTTGAGTCGCCAGTGTTAATAAAATACCAACACGCTTTTTCTTCTTGTAGTAGTAATCGTTAACTTCACCAACAGGAGCATCTCAGCTGACGTCCTATTAGTCATTTTGGTTCAATATGGCTTGTGAAAACAATATAAATTCCAGCTTTTGTAATAGTAATTTCGAGGTGGTTCATTACGATACTCTTGAATGAGAGTCTGGCAAGTTGACAGATATTTGCACAACTCATTAGGTTTTGTTCCTCTAAAGGTGACACATGGTGACTGCACACCTGCTGTTTCTCCTAACTGAGCCCACATTTACTGTAAGACTCTAGACTTTCACCTTCACAATTACTGACTCTTTTGTTGTGGGTTAAGCTGGCGGTGGTTTTAGTGTAAAAGAAGACCACTATGTGGCAAGTGGTGGCCGGATGGAGAACTCAAAACCATAAAAATATTGGTCAAAATACAGTGTGTATCTGTATGTCTGTCCTGTCTACATGAAAAATTATGGTTACGGTTGCTTTTCATCTGATCTTGTCTGAACATTTTTATTATTATTTTTTATTTTTTTCAATTAGAAATGAGCAAAACTCTTTAGTCTAGTACAAAGACATATTTCAAATACTTAAACACAATGTTAAATCAATTATAGTTTTGGTGAAATGGCTCACCTCCCTGGCAACAGACGAGGTCAAGAAAATGGAGAAGAAAGTTTTTATACTATCATTTTCAGTTTATACAAAGCAGATGCCTGCCTGTGTTTCACAGTTGTTGTTTTTTTTTGTTGTTGTTTTTGTTTTACAAAAGATAGAACTGAACTGATAAATCATATTTATCCACATTTCTTTATCAAATCACAAAGGAAGAACATCCTAATGCTTTTCTGGAATCAAGACAACCTGAAACTGAGACAAGCACAAATTTAGGCGGACTGAATGAATTTAGACTGAGTAAGGATTCTTCAAAGCATACGTGTCATTTTGTCATTTAGGCACAAAAAGGAGGAGTTTGCCCAGTGCAACATCCATGAACACTTTACAGAGGTACATCTGTAAAACAGGAAAATGAAAATCATTAATTGTTTTCCCTTCACTTCCCAATCGTGTGCTACTTTGTGTCGCTCTCAAATCCTGATTTAATGCACTAAAGTTTGTTCTTGCGTTGTGGCAAAATGTGGGAAACTTCCAGAGTTCTTAACACTTTATCAAGTCAATGTAAAAGCTGGAGAAAGTTTGAAAGTAAGCAAAGACATTGCTTTATTGATTTAGAATTAAAAATACAGACAATTGTATTACACATATTCCACTTAACAGAAAAATAAACCTTGATTTAATCAGTACCAAGATTTTATACTTAGTTTTAGTCTTTATTTTAACTACCAAAATACTACAAAGCATATTTGTAGCACATTTGTTGCTATTACACGGTTAGTATTAAAATGTGTGCCAACACCTTCTTGAAATGCATTTAGAGTGAAATATTTTATCGGAAGAATTTGGTTTGGAAAAGTTGATAGTGCTTGACATGCTATTCCTAAATATAAACTGTTTACTGCAAATACTTCTTGATCATGAAGCCTTTCTGTAGCCGAGAGCTTCAAAATGACACCTGAGCGTTGGCATTTAACTGAATCAAAATCTGTCTATATAATAAAAAAAAAAATAATAATTTCACAAGTGAAAGGTAGAGGTGAAAGTTAGTTCTGCTAATATAAACCGTATCCTGAAATGTATCACACTGGTTTCCTGATGCTTCTGGTCCTAAAATCACTTAAAAACAGTGAACTGCAATCTGCATTTAGAAATATGCAAGACGTCTATGTGTTTCAATCATGTTAGATGCGTCACGATTACTAAAAACACTTCAGGAAATCTGGGAACAGAACAAAAGATTTTATAGATGGAATTGTTTAAAACTCCTCATATTTCCAATTTGCCAGATTCATTTTATTTGCTCTCTAAGTGTCAGATTGTGTTGTTGTTTTTTATTCCATTCCAGCTCCACTTTGGTCTTTCTATATAAAACATTAGTCAAACTTGGTACTAAATTACAAAACAAAACATACATTTAAAAAAAAAGTCTATGCTACACATAATATTTGTTTTCCAGTTTAAAATAAAACTATACAAACAACATATACAAAGTACAACTTTGATGATCCACTCAGTCCAGTCTCTTCTTTGTCTTTGTAGACATTCTCTTGTAAATACAAACGCTTGCCTTCTGTTTGCTTCTGTTGGGGAAGTGCATCACATGCCCCGCTTGCCTCTGTGGTCCACGGCTTCATGAGTTTCATGCATGTCAGCGTCCTGCAAAGTGCATCCTCAGCGCCTCAGTGTTCCTCGCATGTCCTCGTAAACATCATTGCCGGCAGCAACACGCCTCGGCTTTATTGCTTTGTTTGAGCTCTTGGTCTGGTCACAAAAGATTGTCAGCAAGTTAGACTGGTTTAAAATGGGGAAATGAGTTTGAAACCAAAGACAACAGCTTCAAAAAGAAAAAAAAAAAAATTAAGAAAATCAATGTTTTCCAATAGTTTGACTGACAACTTTTTATAAGCAAGTTGTTCTGTTTGTCCCATACAAGACGCGAAGACTTTGTGCATTGCAA